AAAAAAAAAAAATTCAGAAGAAGCAGCTTGTAAAATTCTGCTTTAGCCTGTATTTTGAAGGAACAATGCCTTAGAGTAAGTAAGTCTGACTTTAGAATATTTATGTACTAAAACTGACAGTATTCTTCATCCTAACAACCTTATGGTAGAATAGAAAGAGCAGTGGACTCATTGTCAGGAGACCTGACAATTAGTTCTAGTCATTGTTCTGTCCACAGTTAGCTGGAGGACCTTGAATATAAGTTCCTCAACCTAACTAGACATCAGTTTTTTTCCACCTATAAAATAAATTAAAATAGGTAATAATTAAATACTCTTAGTGCTCTTACATTAGATGATGGACTGGTATTGAGTAATAAATACATAATAGCCATTCAGTTAATTTAAAAGTTGATGAATTTATTATGTACAAATAAGTCAGATTTATTTCATTTTAGAAGGATGAGTACTGTTTTGGTTAAAATTTCAAGAAAAGGAATGAAGAAGAGGAATAAGGCTTAATGACCATCTACTTTGTGTTAGACACTGTCCAGTGCATTTTTCTATTAGGTAAAATGTGTGGAAAGAATTAAGATTTCCACTTAACAGATTAAGAAACTGAGGTCCAAAGTAGTAAGTGGCAGAGTGAGAATTCAAACCCTGGAATATCCATCTCTGAAGCCCCTGTTCTACCCACTACATTGTCCTCGGAAGGAAATAAATTGGAAGCAGAGTTCCCAGTTCCAAAAATCCCATTAGGGTAATGGGATTTCTTTTTTAGAGAAACAGTCAAATATTTAAATATAATTTTGCTTGCTGTTGATACTATTACTAAAATGATGTTTCCAATTGACTTTTAGATCCCAATTGTAGAGTCAGAAATAAAGAAAGAAGCTGGTGAATTAAAACCTGAAGAAGAAATAACTGTGGGGCCAGTTCAGAAATTGGTTACTGAAATGGGTACCTATGCAACTCAGAGTGCCCTTAGCAGTTCTAGACCCACCAAGAAAGAGGAAGACAGGTAATGTATGACACATTATTACTCTGCCAGCTGTACTATTTTTATTATTACTCTTGTATGTAAAACAGTCAAATAATTTCTTTTCTCTTGTTTTTGCAACCAAAATGAAAATATTTGCCATTTAAGGTACTCGAGAAGAGGAAGATGTTTAAGTTCATCCCCCTAGAAATTGTATTGATGGTTTTAATCTTCTGTCCCTTCCAGTGTTTTTATGGAAATAACTGTTCTGTTTAAACTCAAATTATTTTTACTCAGAAAATGCTAAGTGGGGGTAACTGATGATATTTGAGTTTTGTTGTTTATTAGCATCTGAAAACATTTTGAAGATTTTTCAATTTCTAAATGATGGAATAAAATTGTGCATTTTTCTATTAAGTAAATTTTAATGGTGAAGATGGTGAAATCTATGCCTAAAATTTTATTGAATACCCACTAAGTGCTAGGCATTGTGCTAAGTAGTATAGTCTTGACAATAAGCCTTTGAGATAGAATATATTATCTCCATCTTATGGAAGAGGAATTTGAGACTTAACTAGTAGATAAATAGGTAAGCTGGAATTTGAATGTACTTCATTAGCTGCAATTACATATGCCCTTAATTAAATATTTTATCTTTCCATATTCTGTTGGCTTTTGTGTCATTTGAAGATAAATTGTCTTTTTTTGAGACAGAGTCTTACTCTGACGGCCAGGCTGGAGTGCAGTGGCACAATCATGGCTCACTGCAATCTGTCTCCTGGGCTCAAGCAATTCTGTTGCCTCAGTCTCCTGAGTAGCTGGGATTACAGATGTGTGCCACCATGCCCAGCTAATTTTTGTATTTTTAGTAGAGACGGGGGTTTCACCATGTTGGCCAGGCTGTCCTCGAACTCCTGACCTCAGGTAGTCCGCCTGTCTTGGCCTCCCAAAGTGCCAGGATTACCGGCGTGAGCCACTGCACCTGGCCAAAGTTATGTTTTAAAGTCATGTATTACTTTTCTTTTTCCTTCTTTCTTCTGGGAGCTAAGGTGTTAGTTAACTGAGGTATTCTTATCACTGAAGGATGGTAATAAGAGTGTTTAATAGGCCTATATCAATCATTTATGCAAAAGCTGCATGCTGCTTAACAAGTTGGTGGATTTGATTTTCCTTGATTGCTTTGCAGACCTCCCTTGAGAGGATTCCTTCTGGATGGAGATTTCTTTGTTGCTGCGTCCCTTGCCACAACTCTGACCAAGATTGCATTGCGCTATGTAGCTTTGGTTCAGGAGAAGAAAAAGCAAAATGTAGGTTCATTTATTGTACATTTATGCAACAATTAAACACTGAGTGCCTACTATATGCATTGAACAGTGAGGTATGCAAAAATTAATACCAAGTTTCTATCATGGAAGAGTTTATGATTTAATAGCAGAAGTGGACACGATAATACATTACTCTAAAATTGATAAAGTATCTTCCTCTTCTGTTTGGACTTTAAAAAAATTAAAATTGACAAAGTGATATAATAATAATGTCATGTGATTATTCCAGTGGAAGAGATAAAGGATTTATGAAGTCACTTCAGTTTGCTAGGATTAGTTCAGGACCAGCGAAGGAAGTGTCCTTCTCTCCAGCATCTGCATCCATTCGGTTATTGTCTGTTTTATCCCAGAATGTCTTTTAAATTATTCTCATCTGTAGTTCATACCTTCGTTGTAGCTTCTGACTGTTGTGACCAAACACCCATTTACAATGGAATGCAGTTTGTCCTCCATGTTCACAGCTTCTGCACCTGCAGATTCAACCAACTATGGATTGAAAATATCTTTTTTAAAAAACGATAAACAGTAAAAATAATAGAAATTTGAAAACAATACAGTGTAACAATTATTTACATAGCATTTACAGGCATACTTCATTTTATTGCACTTTGCACATACTGCTTTTTTTTTTTTTTTTTTAATAAATGCAGGTTTGTGGGAACCCTGAGTTGAGCAAGTCTGTTGGCACCATTTTGCCAAATAAGCATATGCTCACTTCATATGTCTGTATTACATTTTGGTAATTCTCACAATGTTTCAAACTTTTTCATTATTATTACATCTATTATGGTGATCTGTGATCAGTGATCTTTAAAATGTTATTATCATAGTTGTTTTGGGATGCCAGGAACCATTCCCATATAAAGCAGTAAACGTAATAATTGTTGTGTGTATGTTCCGACTACTCCACCGACTGGCTGTTACCCCATCTCTCTCCTTCTCCTTGGGCCTCCCTACTCCCTGAGATACCACAATATTGAAATTAGGCTGGTTAATAATCCTACAATGGCTTCTAAGTGAAAGGAAGAGTCACATGTCTTTCACTTTAAATCAGAAGTGAGAAATAATTAAACTTAATGAGGAAGGCATGTCAAAAGCTGAGGTAAGCCAAAAGCTTCTTTTGCCAAATAGGTAGCCAAATTGTGCATGCAAAGGAAACGCTCTTAAAGGAAGTAAAAGTGCTACTCCAGTAAACATGGGAATGATAAGAAAGAGAAACAGCTGCCGGGCGTGGTGACTCATGCCTGTAATCCCAGCACTTTGGGAGGCCGAGGCGGGTGGATCACGAGGTCAGGAGTTCGAGACCAGCGTGGCCAACATGGTGAAATTCTGTCTCTACTGAAAATACAAAAATTAGCTGGGTGTGGTG